CCTACCGTTTTGTACATTCCGCACGACTTGACCTTCTCCCCACCCGTGGCTACCCGCGCTTAGGTACGAAGTCCTGCCGTAAGTGTGGTTACCAGACAGAAACACTCTCACATATTCTTTGTCACTGCATGACAGCACGTGCGCAACAGTACATTAAAAGACATAACAGTGTATTAAACAGAATAGTTGCAGGCCTGCCAAGTGGTCCACACAGTAACTCGGTATATCTACACACTGCGGCCAGACATCGTAGTCCTAAACCGCAAAACCCACACCGCGGCCATTGTAGACATTGCCATTCCCTTTGAGAACCGCTGTAGGGCTTTTTGAAGTAGAACGCGCACACAAAATAACACACTATAAACATTTCGAAACAGCCCTTAAACAAGAGGGTTACACAATATTTCTGGATGCAATCATAATTGCCCTGGGTTCTTGGGACAGTGCTAATGATAAAGTATTAAGCGCACTGCACATCAGTCCTAGGTTCGTCAAAACGCCCTGTGAGATCCATAACACCCATAGGAATCGCAGGAGCAGAAATACTATTTCCAGCTACTGCGACACAGTGTCAACCCCAGAATCCGCCGTCTCGCCCGAAACCGAAAACCCTGAAGACACACAAGGACAAGCCCCAACTGAAGAACTCATCGACCCTCCCTCTCCTGACATTGACTCGGACAACGATGATCAGCCCTCCGTTGCTAAGGCTGGTTCATCATGAGTAGGTCCAAATGACCGCGGGATGTAAATATGTACATGCATACGAATGTAAGTAGTTTTGTACAGAGTATTTGTCTCAATAAACGATATATGTTGATGACGTCAGCAAGGTTATAGTGAGAAATCGCTCTAGGTCATTGTGCGGATCCGACCTCCCTATACCTACCCACGCCGTCTCAATGCTTCCCCTCAGAGCACTACCTCAGGAGGGAGCCAGATAGATTGGTGAAACGGTAGGATTCTCGCAGTAGCAATTGTATGATTCAGAACCACTCCGTCAGATCATCACATCACGGTCATATGGCTAAGATGTATATGTTGATGACGTCAGCAAGGTTATATTGAGAAATCGCTCTAGGTCATTGTGCGGACCCGACCTCCGTAAACCAACCCACGCCCTCTCAGCATTTCCCTTCAGAACACTACCACATGAGGGAGCCGGATAGATTGCCGAAAGCGGGAGGCTTGTCCTAGAAGCAACTGTATGATTCAGATCCACTCCGTCGGATCATCACATCTCGGCCATATGGCTAAGATGAATATGGTCATGACGTCAGCATGGCTAAAATGAGAAATCGCTGCAGGTCATTGTGCGGATCCGACCTCCGTAAACCTGCCAACGCCGTCTCAGCGCTTCTCCTAAGAACAGTATCTCAGGAGCGAGCTACATAGATTGGCGACAGCGGTAGCTCCTCGAGGAAGCAGCCCCGTGATTCAAAGCCACTCATCACATCTCGGCCATATGGCAGATATGAATATGTTGATGACGTCAAAGAATTCTAGAACGTTCTTCATAGGCGACGTGCAGCAGCATATTCCGGCAGCTGTGTGAAATGAGTAAGGTAAACAGTTGTTGCGAAGACGGAAGTCTCAAAGGGAAAGATTGACATGCCGAAAACGAAGCGAGCAAATGTGAATACCCGCTTGAAACATTGGCGCAGTGACAGGAAAGGGTATGGAGCTAGCGGAAGCCCTTCATAGAAGAAAAGTTCAGATTGTTTGTTTTCAGGACACGAAATGGAAAGGTTGGAAATCAAAAGACATCGGGTAGGCTATAAACTGATTTACTCTGCAGCATCAACCGTAAGAAATGGAGTTAGAGTGGAATAGAATGCAGCGACCAAAAACAGAGAACTTGATGTCAA